GTCCAGCTTAAGAGAGGGTGAGTTGAGAGGGTGAGAACTAAACTACTTCTGAGACAATATCTTGATCAACTTGAGAAAGTCCAATAAACCGAATTTCAGAATTAGTCCTTCACTGATTTCAAATTCGACCTTCACCATGTCTAGAAGACGTAAAGGAGATTAAAACCTAAATGAGATGTCAAGAGATACGGGAAGTGCTGGTTATATACAAAATTTTTTTGCAGGCAGTTTTGCTTGAATTTGCTCTGCCTCTTAAACCCAGGTGCAAATTAGTGCTATTGTCTCAAAGGCATGTTGTTGGCAGACATCCTTTAACAATGGAGGCAATCACAGCAGCTAGGCAGAGGAGCAAACCTTAATGAGTCAGTGTTGACACATGGTTTGCCAACATAATAACACTATTTCCACTTCCAGAACTCCTCCAGAGTTCGACTAGCATTGACTTTCCATGTTATTCTTTTCCAAATTTTTAAAAAGAGCCCATATCCTACATATTTTGTATACTATTTTTGTCTCCTGAAGTCCATGTATGATGTATGTGTGGTTTTATGTACCAAAAAACAGTTGTAGTTAAATTTTATATGACCATTTTATCCCTCAGACCTAAAGGCTGTTTTAGTCACAGTACCTTTGAGAATGATTTGTGTGAATGACCTCTGTTCTGGTTGGCTGTTCTTTAATGTGCCTTGCTCACAAAGCAGTCCAGACTGAAACACTCTTCATAGCTTCTGAACTGCTGTAGGCCAAACAGGCATATATATATGATATAAATGAGAACAAATTCAAAATGGGCTGTTTTTGCAAATTCGTTTCCATATATTTGCTGTACCAAAAACCCAGAGTAGAAATACATCTCTGTAGAATGTTTAATGAACACCTTGTATCATTTCGTCATTGAAATGACATTTTCTCTTTTGTCCCATGATTGTTGAAGGATCACGGCACCTTTTAAACCCAGTGCATCACAAGCATTACTCAGTAGGTAGATGGTCCCATGCATGGTTTGCGTCATTAATTGCTACGTTAGTAAAGGTCATTTCAGATGCATATAGAGCACGTATTGCGATCACATTAGGTCTATCACGATAAAGAAATACTTTTAAGAATGCTAATCTTGCTAACAGTGACTGAAAGCCGGTGATCCATATTCATGATGTCATTTCCATCATGTAAACTGAGCCTATAAAAATCATTCATTATTTTTAGTATTTTTGTGTAGATATATGTAAATGTGGGCTCATATCCCACATTTCTATTACATTGTATTTCTCCCCTGAGGACCACTTATAACCTCTGTGTGGTTTAATGTCATACTTGTGTCATTTCACAGCCTCTCTTTATGGCTTAAACGGGCTGTTTTTTCATAACTGTACCTTTAAGTATGAATGAGATGTGTTCTGATTGGCTGCCTTATTCAAAAGCAGTCCAGGCTGAAACAGTGGCCACGTCCAGAAACTTTTGCTACTTCTCCTCTCCTACACTGGAAAAAAAGCAGAGGAATAGAAGACAGGAGAGAGGCAGGAGAAATGGAGACCACGAGCAGAAACTGGAGGGAATGGGAGAACTGATTGATTCCTTTCAATGTCATTAAATTTGATGTTCATTATTGATAAATCGAGCCTATCACAGCAATGGTGAATGGTGTTTGTGTGTTTTTCTACTCTACGTCTTTTATTTTATTTTACACCAAGTATAAAGTACACAAGACAGGTAATTATATAAGCCCAAAGAAGAACAGAATTTAAAGTTTAGTTGGATTGCTTTGAGTTTGTCCTTCCTCTCTGGGTGTGTCTGCAGTGATGTCACTCTATCTGTAAAAGACTTCCTGTGTAGCATTCCTTGGTGTATCCTCCACGCGTAGCCGCTCCTCTGGTATTCAGTGAGCGGGTAAGATTGCGTCGAGTTTCTGGATGCAGCCACTGTATAACTTCAGAGTGAATGGGTGGGGCTAAACTGCTGCAGACTGAATAGGTCGATATATATTAATATGTTGGTTTTTGTGACATCACAAAAGCAATGAATTCAACACAGGTTGTAACTTGTTTTTGCAGCTTGGTTTCCTTAAAAAGGCTGCACTACATCAAACTATTATTTTAAAAAAAGTGAGGTGAAATTGTTTCCTCCCTTTAAGAAACTTTGTTCACACTAGTTTGCTGATATTTTAAACGCGATGTACTGAGTACCGTCCTGCTATGATCATTCCTTTTTAATCGTCCCATTCATCGGACAGTTTCCATCAAGGTCACCAGCAGTAAGGGAAACTTATTTAATCCATAATGCTTTAAAGCAACAGATCAATCATTTGATTATGTGCTAAGCTGAGCAGTCTCTCGCTGCCCGTAGCCCTCGCTATCTGAGCATATGGTTGCTCTTGGCAGAGATTTGTTTGGCGCTAGAGTTGGTTTGGAGGAGACGGCTACTGACAGAGGGATAGAAGTGTTCATTAGGGCTGCTCTGCTGTTTCAATTAATGCGCCAGCCCTTGCCAGAGGCTTTGCGTGCTCTGATGATCTTGGATTGGTTTCCTCTGCCCAGTCCTAACATTCAGGGTTGAGAGAGCCAGCCTGATGTCAGATCAGCAAAAGGGAAGTTAGGAACAAATTGAAATGTATATGGTCAAGAGCCAGCTCATATTCCAATCAGCAAGGACAAATTCTGGCATGAATACTTTCCTTTGGATTTATTCTTATGATTTAAAACATTTGGGCAAATAGTTTGTATGAGATAAATTGAGAAGTTTGTGTTTAGTCAGTAAATCACCTTTAAAGCTGTGCAATGTAAGTTTTGGCGATTTGGAGATATCTTTGGTGGAAGTGTGTAATTGCATGTGACATTTGTAACATTGGTTCCTTGAGTGGATGAATCTGATGAAGTATTCAAAGAGAATTCAGTCAGAACTTGGTGAAGGATGCGAATTACCTACTGTTGTCGTCATGTCTTCATCAGTACAATTTTGACTTGCATTTGAGATGTAAACATTGAGCTGGATCTTCTTTTTGTTCCTGTGTGTGTGATGTTTATACATAAAGACATATGAGATGTAAACAAAGTCATTTAGAGTGGTTTGATGTGAAATGTTTAATTTTAGAGAAACTTACTGACTGATTTCTATACAGTTGGTGAAACAAACCAGTGATTGCATTGTCTACAACACAAATATAGCCATTTTATTTACTATCCAAAATGACCAGTGATGATGGTAAAATAGTGGTAAATCTGAAAAACAAAGTTTTCTTTGGGTACTATTTTGCCTCACAAAAACTGCATGTACATTTCCATCAAGAAAGGATTTTTATAAAAATAGATTTTAGGCCAAAACCTTCTCATAACTATCTTTAAAAAATGTCTCAGATTTTAGGCAGTGTATTCATAACCATTCATGTAATAACTGTCTGTGAGGGAGCTTATAGAGGCATTAAACAGTCTAAAAAATGCTGAGGAACCAGCCTTCGTAGACTTCTTAGATCAGAAAAAGCATTGAATATTATTTAAAAAAGAAAAACGTTTGGACTTGTGTATAGTATAATGTGATAATGGTCTACTTTCTACCATATCTTGTATTTATCAGGCCTTTACACAGAAAAAGAAGAACCTGTTGCCTAAAGAAGAAGAAAAAGGCCAACTGCTCCTAAACGTCTCAACGAAAACATATTCCTTACATATGCTACCTAGCCTTGATTACCAGGCGATTGGATCATCAGGACAGATGGTACCACTAATTTGGCACCAACCCAGCCATTACGGGAAGGCAGGAGGGTATTTCAAGCAGAAGTTGTTTTGCTCATTGTGTTGCCGCACAGGCATGACCTGAGAGCAACAGACAACAGATGCACATGGGAGTGTAGTGACATCTGAAAGTGTTTTCTTTCAGTTCCAGCTGGACAGGAAAAATCAGATTCCATCATATTCAATCCCAAAGAAAGAATGAATAGTTTCCAGACATTGCTGCAGATCTCAGAATGGAATGAAGATTGGAATCTATGGGAGATTGGAACATTCCTGATGGTGATATGATCTTACACAAGATGATGATCATTACTGTCGTCATCTCGGCATAAGATTATGGCTCTTCTTGATCCAGTAGGACTGGATGTTTTAAATTGGTTTAATCTGTGGGTATCATGTAAAAATGATTCAACGGTTTATCAAGTGAATCTTAGCTACTTAAACTGGATTTGACAAATTCTTAGTAAATCGTTCGATTTTCATTTGAATGACTGAAGCAGCACTCAGTTCTTAGGACACATTTCTCTGCATACAAACTGAACTGTTTTTTCTTGTTTGAACAAATACAAAAATCAGCAAAAACAAACTTTATTAACAAGAATATGCAATAATTTCAGCAACATGAATTTTGTGGGTGTTTCAAAAGCTCAGCCTAGCACCTTTGTCAGCCTTGTAAAAATTCATTAATACAAGAAAAAAAAGATTTTTCGAAATATCTGCATAATTAAATGTTTGAGATGTAAACAAAGTCAGAGTGGTTGGATGTGAAATGCTCCATTCTAGAGAAACTTCACGAGTCACACATTTTTTCATAGTAATCGTGATAGGAACCAGACAACTGAAGAGTTTAATGCCTCTAAAAGCTCTTTCACAGAAAGTTATTATATGAAAAGGTTACAAGTGCATTACCTGTTGTCTGAGTTTTGAGAAGATTCTGGCCTAAAACATATTTTTTTTAAATCCATTTATGGTGGAGAGGTTAATTTGGGGTACTGTAAGGCAAAATAGTCCCCAAAGAAAGCTTTTTTCAGATTTGTCACTAATTTACCATTAGAATAATTACATATAAAACTCAGAAGGCACTTATAGGTTCACTGATAATTTTGCATAGTAAATAAAATGGCCATATTTGTGTTGTGGACAGTTATAGGCCATCAGTAAGTTTCTCTTCAATTAACCATTTCACGTTAAAACACTATGAACGGCTTTGTTTACATCTCAACCTCTGAATTATGTAGACATTTTGAAATGTGAAGCAAGGGAACACAATTCCAATCAGGACTTGATCCAACACTGTAGTGACCATCCTGGGGCTAGTTCTGAGTTTATAAGCACAGGGCATGGTAAACATGGCTGATGCGCTGTTGTTGTTTGAAAATCTCTGCAGTTTTCAGTGTCCTCTCAGTCGCAGTGAATCCTGCTTGGGCCTATAAGGAGTAGAGCCAAATTAGATCTATGCCATGTGTTTCCATTCTTACATCCTTTTACTGACCACTGGCTGCATTAATGAGGGCAGTGAAATGAGCTCAGTGTAGTTTCACAAAAATAGACTTCGTTTCTGTTCGGAGTGAACAGTAAGGGACATATACAGCACCTACTGTACATCATTCTAATGTATCCCTCCTCTGCCCACATTCACTTTGCTGTCATCATGTCTGACAGGTTCTACAGTGTAGGAAAATCTTTTTGCAGCCTTAAAGCTGCACTATGTAAGATTTTTTGTTGAAGGTGAAAAAATATGATGTGCATGCAGTGCTATGCGTCGGCCTCTGTGAAGCCTGAAGATGTCGGGTCAGATGTTGCACAGGTTTTCGGAGCACTTCATACAGCTTTACATATCACCATCATGCGCATTAAGTCAGAAAGAAAATCTGGCTTTCATATTTAGGTCTTAAATGTAAAATTATACTGATGAAGATATGATGACAGCAAATAATTCACTTACATCTTCGAAAGACACGTCCTTCACCAAGTTCTCTTTCGAAAACTCTTTCAACTCTTTCGCTTGCAATCATCAGATTCATCTGCTTGGGGAAGGGGTCCGAAGCACAACACAAGAGTTCAATTCCAAAATGCTCTATATCCGTTTGTAACAATCTAGGATATAACAAGTTTTTAAAAAGAATAACAGCAGATGTATAACGGAAAACACGTTTGTATATCTCTAACAAAAGTGGTACTAATCATAATGGAGCATTGGTGTTTCTTGTCCATGTATAACCCACTCCCAAAAATATATATCATAAAACAAAATGAAAATGCTTGAACGTGGTCTATAATGGGCTTTGGAAAAAAAACCTTCAATTACACATTTCCACCAGAGAGGTCTCCAAATCCCCAAAACTTGCATAGTGTAGCTTTAATGAACATGGTTGTGATACAGAAAAGGAATTTTTAAATATTACACATGAAACAATGAACGAAGAAGTGAATAAATAATTAATAATAATAAACAGTAAATAATAATTATTAATAGTAATAAATAATAATGAGTAATAATAATAGTACAAATAATAAATAATTAAACTTTAAGTTAATTAGACATGAAAATGTCTTGCCACAATTTTTAAATAATTGATTTAATTTACTTATTGAAAAAGCATACATTTTGAGCCAAATTTTTTTACAGATATAATATATGTAATAGATATCAGATGTTAAATGATCTAATCAGTTCTTTTCCTGTGAGGTGCTCGATATATGTGGGTCACAGAAAGGCAAATGAATCACGCTCACACATCTGTGTGTGGAGCTGCTTCCGCTTAAGTGCTATTTCAGTGAGCTGAAGTCTGCTTTACATTTAGCAAGTCCACCCGACAAGTTTATCATCTGTTATGACATGTCAGCACGGCACTGCTCCCTGAAAATAGCCTTGATCTCGGGTTCATACCGTACAGACAGATAGGGAGCTGTGCCTTACTGTATATGACCACACATCAAACTGTGCCTGCAAATATGAAGACAATATCTGCAGCCCTATGCATTCTGAGTTCTTAAACAGTTTCAGTTTTGGTAATAAGATAAAACTGTACAGTATGCAGAGGACTGCCCATAAGGGGGGAAAAATCCGAAAGTTTAGGGGCCCTGGCATTAGGGGTACCCAAGAGGCTGACCTTTTTGTTCTGAAAGCATGATAGTGGAGTGTATACATACATACATATATACATATATACAAACATGATTCTAAGCTCATTACTCATGAGCATGTGTACTGCTGAGAGTACTTTTCAGTTCTGTCATCCCTCATCCTTCAAAGGAGCACAGTAACACTGAGATTAGTAACCGATCATCACATTGATTTATCAGTCTACTCAGGCTTTAGCAGAGCTGAGTAACGCCAAGATAAATAGCTGATCATCACTTTACTGTAACACTTCAAACAAAGCACAGAACCTTTTAGCTAAATTAGACTGGTATTCATTTTAATGTACTCAAAGTTTGGACCGTGTAGCTGTATTACCTATATATGTATTGGATTCAGCATCAACAGATACTTAATATTAAAGAACTCGCAGGGGCGTTAGGAGTGCCTAGACCTCGGCCTAGTACCTTTGGGTAGAGGTGGAGAGCCAAATGTTTCAGTGACCCAGCCATGTCTTTGTGTTTGTCTGAGTATGCATATCAAAGTCTTGCACCAAAACTGTTCCAACTAAATTTTGCTTGGTAACTCACTGAGTGTGTTTACATGCACACAAATCATATGATCACTATCTGATATCGGCAGTTACCAAAATATTCAAGTGGTCATATAAACAGCATATGACGTATCGGTCACACTAAGTATCAGATTAAAGTCATTTACACCAACGGTATGGTTTTGTATACTAAATCTGGTGGGTTGCAAAGTAACTGTAAAAGGGGCCTGTATCTAAAAAACATTTGATGTAGTTCTAATTGAAACTGTTAAAGTTTTAAAATGTACCGTTCACTTCAAAACTGGTGTAGCGAGCTATTAATACAGCTTTATGTATGTTTGGTTGTTGTTCAAGAGAACCACATTACAGAGTATGGTGCTTTCTCAAAGAGATTATTAATGTTTTATTGGTGGGATTACCAATCCTGTGGTGATGAGAACAGGCTACTGAGGAGAACCACAGGGCGTCAGTACTGCACCAGAGCAGGCACCCAAGAGCAATAAAGCTCATAGAAACCTAGAGATTGGGGTGAAACTTGCTGCACTTGAGGAATGACAGAGGAAATATAAAATACAGCTATAATACACACCCACATGAGAGCACTTGTACAGTCAGAAGGCAAATAAGCAGGGGCTCAGGCTCTCCCTGGGGTCTGTCTGCTCTGTTGTTGCACACAGAAGATATATAGGAGAGGGAGAGCATGCAAAACAGAAAGTTTGCAAAATTTGACATATGCAAACATTCCTTATGTTATATAGACATTTGTTAAAAAAACAAATCTACCACATGAAAGTTCACTCATTAGAAAACAAACACAGGCCCAAGATTATGTGTCAACATTTTACATTTTAACTGACTTTCTGGGTGCCTCAGATCATTTTCAAAGAATAGTTTAAAACACATTAAAAATGCATTCTAACAAGCTATGAAAGGTTGGTAAGACATTTTTTTAGCATGGAGCACCAGCACTCAGCATGCGCTCAGTAACTTAATCAATGCTGCACTACATAAGATGTTTGTTAAAACTGAAAGATGTAGCATTACTGAAAAAGAAACAGGCTAAAATATGGTGTCTGTGTGCAGCTGCAAGTCACTCTAAACAGCTGTTGTGACTTGCAGTGGAAACTTTACTAGCGACACAGCAGGAAAAAATTAACTTATTTGTCATTGAGTTTCAGCTGATCATAATTCTGATGGGCTCCATGTCTTTCCTAAACATCTGCTTCATTTTCTCCTCTGATCGTTACTTAGTAATGGTTACACCATCCACCCCCATATGCAGAAAAAATATATGGATATATTCCAAACACTGAAACGCATTTCAAAATATATATATATTCTGGTATATTATATTATATTATATTATATATATATTCAGTAATAATACCTAGAAATATACCATAGAAAAAATAAGTATATTTATCAAGTATGTTTGAAAATGTATGGAAATACTTGAAATACCTTTTGAAATGAGTTTGTATTCCAGTATCTTAACTTTACAAACAAGTCAGTGAACCTTTAACTTGGCAAAAGCAAGTGATGTAGATATTAATACACTGTGAAAATGCAGCTCAGTGATTTGATATCTTGTTTATTTGAAACACATTTTGTGTGAGTGTCTAACTGCATACACACATGGTTAATGCAAAGTACAATGCAAAACACAGAAGTCACCGTTCATTCAGTTAATGCATATTTAGTTAAAGCTGTTATCTTTGTTAAAACTACATACAATTGAAAAAAAAAAGTAATAACAAATACAAATAAATTCTTTAAAAAAAAATTTAACAAATACATTTGGCCGTTTTTATACATTGCGAAAAATATTTGATAAATACATTTGAAATATATTTTTCCATATGGGTAAAATGTCTTTGAGAATGGGAAAGGCACTATATAAATAAAAATGATGATAACCATGATAATCGAGCTTCAAATTCAAAAGTACATTCAAATGAGCTCAAGCTCATTACTACACAAACTGAAAGCTTGACCGAGTTACTGGTCCATATGGAAAAAAAAATTATTCCAGATGTATTTAGCAAATATATTTTTGCGATGTATGAAAATGGCCAAAATGTATTTATTAAGTGTATTTTTAAAATGCATTTATTTGTATTTGTTATTATATTTTTTCAATTGTTTGTAGTTTTAAAAACGTTGAATCAAATAAATTTACATGAACTGAATGAATGGTACTGACTTCTGTGTTCATTAGACAGTATTTTGGGTATTTTCATACATTTTCAAATGTAATGATAAAAAACGTTTCTTTTTTTTCATAGTATATTTCTAGGTGTTTCCCCAGACGTTTAAAAAGTGCATTTTGAAATATATTTGGTTAATATGGCAATATATTCTGAAATACATTTTAGTGTTTGAAATGTATTTTGGCATGGATTGCCATATATTTGACATGTATAAAAATATATGTCCATATATTTTTTCTCATATGGGTACATTCAGCCACTTTACAAAAGTAGCAAAATACACAGTCAACAATAAATAAAACAACAAACATGCATGCACACGCACACAGACAGCATTCCCACAGCTGGCTGGGGTGATTCCCCAGAAAACTGTATAGAGTTGCTTAGCTAGTCTGGAAGGTCTCTCTCTGCCACAGCTACGATATAGCGGCACACATATGGCCGGCCCGGGAAGTGTCCTTAGCTGCAAAGGGGAAGCATTTCCAAACACCACCGTTGCAGGCAGCCCCACAACTGCAGTGCAGTGTCATCCAAGCAGCCGGCCCAGGCAGCCACTTACCTGTGATGTAGTGTCATACAGGCAGCCGGTCCAGACGGCCTCGTAGCTGCGATAGAACGTTATTTAAGTGGCTACTTCAGGCTGCAAAATAGCTGTAGCGTCACTCAAACAGCCAGCCCAAGAAGCCTCTGAGCCACAGGTGGAAAATCACTCTCAGCCTCATCTCGGTGGGTAACTCTTCGGCCACTGGGGAAACATCAAAACGTAAGACACAAGTAATACAAAACAAATGAAAAACCGATGTGAAGTGGCAGCCATATTACACCAGCATACTTACACCGGCACACACACCAGCCTACAGGGCCGTTACTCCATATAGAAGAATAGAGCTGGGTATGGTAGGGCACCACGTCTCTGATTGATCTGTGAACTGTCATCCGAGGTTGTATATAAAGCATTTTATTCTTTGGCTAAGATGCTTGACAGTTTGGGTTTTACGTTTGCTCTTTTTTCCGTCTTTAATGTCTTTTATGTAATATGTGTGGTCCGATTTTAATTTGTGTCGTCGTAATTGGGGTGAATGTGTTTCTTGTAAAGAGTGGGCGCACACTTTATAGGGAAGTGTTGCTTTGGTTGTTGGGTTTATATTAACCTGTGGTCTCATTATTGTGTGTGTAGTCCTGCTATTGTTTTGTCTTGACTGGAATAAATACATACACTTATTGCAGTGACATGCTCAATATGGCGGCTAGTACGCTACCAGTTTGGTGCAGCATAGGCCTCATGTTACCTGATGTGATATCATAAAAAAATCACTGACCACCCAGAAAAGGTCAGCTAGGCTCCCACCAAATATTTGTGTTTACTTGATAATCTGGGCCTTTCAAAGTTTTTTGTAGTCATCAGATTAATTTGTACATGTAAACATTCTCACTGATTGGTATTAAAACACTAGTGGCTGGTCTACACATGGGCTCTGCAGTCTGTCCAGCACTCTCTTTTTCACTCTGCTTACCAGACAGCCCCCTAGGTGACTATGCACCTTTCCTAAGATATTGACTTTTCTCTGTAGCCTGCCTGTGAACTGTCTAAATCAGCTTAGCCTGAAGCTATACACGATCTGCTCGTGCCCAATTGAATGTCAATAACCAAATGATAACTGAAGCTGTTAGTGACTCAGACACTATGCTTATATGCTTCTTTTGTTTTCAGGTTATCTTTATAAAGACTGTCTGCTGTATAGACAATATAGCACAAGAAAATGATTGCAAAACCTTGTCCATGTTAAGTATGCATAAATGGGATATTAATATGTAATGATGTGGACTAGGGCCATGCAGGAATGCCTCTAACATCATAGGCATGTGGAATACGTATAGAGCCTATGGAGCTGTTGACAGATGGGACGAGGTTAATCATTCTCCTCCACCTCAAACAATACATGGTGTTCTAAGTATTGCTTTGCTAATCAATCAAATTGCCCTCATGTTTATGTATCTACATGGGGCAGTCTTGCTGCGATATGTAGTTCTATGTTCTTTGCTGTGATTGTTATTAGCTGCATAAGCTTCATATATATAATGTGAAAACATGAGATTTTTGCCTGTACTGCACTGTTTGCCTTATTCTCTGTGACAAATCACCTTAGACGTTGTGCCATGTGACCTCAAAGCATTCATAAGATCGTGACAAGTCTGGTCCATGAGGTGCTTCACATCTAAAAATGCATCTAAAATGCTTTGTGAAGCAGAACCACAGTCAATAACTGTCTTTTATTTGATCTCTAAACTGCTTTCATGCACACATTGCAAGCTATGTGGATCATTCTTTACAAAATTGGTGTGTCAGTAAATCATAAGTGAGAACTGAGATTTTAAGTCTATTGATTTTTTATAATATCTGCATATTTGAGTTATTGGGATGTAAACGAAGTAATTCAGAGTGATACGATGTGAAATGGCGCATTGTAGAGAAGCTCAGATTTCTTTACAGTTGTCACTATGTCTACAACACAAATATAGCCATTTTATTTACTATCCAAAACCACCATGTCTCCTGTGTTTATACATGTTATGTTGATAATGGTAAAGTAGTGGTAAATCAGAAAAATAAGATATCTTTGGGTACTGTTTAGCCTCACAACACCCTGCATGAACATCTCTACTATGAATGGATTGAAAACATACATTTTAGGCCAAAACCTTCTCGGAAAACTACTGCAAAACAATGGCTGTCTGTGAGGTAGCTTTTAGGGGCTTTAAATGTTTCAGGTGTCTGGTTCCTACATAATTCAACATGAAGATGTAAACAAAGTCATTGTGGTTTGATGTAAAATGCTCTGTTCTAAAGAAACGTACTCACCTAGAATTGTTCACAGTGGTGGTGATATGAACCAGACATCCAAAGCCTTTAATGCCTCTTAAAGCTCCCTCACAGAAAGCTATTACCCTGCATGGTTAGGAATGTGTTGTCTGATGCCACATTTGTACAAAAGTTTTGATAGTTAAGTAGCTTGGGTTTAAAAGCCCCTTAAAATCCCAGGCTTATTACACACTAAGGCTTATTATTCAGTAATTACAGGGAATTCAGTGCAAACTGGTTGATCTATTCTTAGGTTATAGAAGTGTGTAATAACACTTTGGCAGGCCCTGGCCATATAAGGGGTTAAAAGGTCATTTTTAAACACATCGTGGACAGGTACATGCAAGGTTTTACCACTATTTTAGCGTCATCAACATTACATATAATCGTGATACATATCAACATTATGACGTTCATTGGTTTTGGATAGTAAATAAAATGACAATATTAGTGTTGCAGACATCGCATCTCTACAATCTGCACCATTTCATATCAAACCACTCCACATCAAACATCTCCACAAATGCATTCTTTAGAATGGTGTATTTCACATTAAACATTGAATTCTGCAGACATTTTGAGAAATTGGTGGAATTGCCCTTTAATTCTAAGTGCAAAAAGTCATTATTCCCAGAATCAAGCTTCTCTGGAAAAGACTCACAAGCTTTTTAGGAAAATGGTTGAAAATTGGCACGCACAGCAAGACTGTATTTTCTTCTATGTTTGTAAAACATCTACAGCAAGATAACAGGTTTGCAACACCTACAGTACACCTACAGCGTTCAGTATCATCTACATCTAAATTTGGTTTTAGGACTTTGAAACATCCACAGATTGGTATACAGGATTTTCATTCTATTCTATGAACAACTGCATGAACACAGTGAATTAAAGGGCCCATTTTCTAAATGTTTTGTATTTTTTTCCCACTGATGTCCTTTTGTAACATTTGTGAGCTTTTATGTACCAAAACAGTCATAATTCATTTTATCTGACCATTTTTATCTATCTATCTATCTATCTATCTATCTATCTATCTATCTATCCTCTCTTTCTTTATACATGTATATAGAGAGATAAATGTGGCTGTGTTAACTTTTAGTCTGATTAGATGGATATAAGTAAATGCCTTGGTTTTCATGACATCACAAAAACAATAAATCTTTACATGCCTCTGCTACTGCTATGGTATGACCCTTATACTGCTATACCCTATATACACGGCAGCTTGCAAAGAGCTGAAGGCAGCAGACTACAACCCTGCATTCAACCCTGCATTTAACCTTTCAGCTGGAGCGATTATGGGCGACTGAGGAGCATTTAATAGGGTGTTGTATATTACGCCTGTGATTGGTTTAAAGATTGCTTGGAGAATAATGGACAGACCCAAAGCGTTCACTTTTAACCCACATTATCTTCAAAATTATGCCCATTAAGCTGTGCTTTATATGTAAATTAGAGTGTATTTTTTATCTTTAATTTTACCCAAGTGGTAATCCTTTTTTTGCTAAATTGCCTCAGATGAGCATATTATGCAGTCATCACTTAAAAAGCTTGGCAAAAAGAAGTGAAATTAAGTTGCACAAAGGTCTCCTTCATGTCTAGCTCACTCTGCCTTTTCCTTTCCCGTTTTACCAGCAGAACTGATCTTGTTGTCCAAACATGTTGTTGTTCGGCTGGTATTTTCAAGGACAGCCTCCGTTTCCCATCAAGCTACTGTATATCAGCAGTCTTTCAGGACTGTTCAGGAAGTGTCCTGTGGGGGCTAAATGTTTTGTCAGCATGTTCCAAAAGGAAAAAAACGGCCCTTTCAAATACCTGGCCAGATGTTTACTCTGCCATGGAAATTTGGCTATTGTCAGGCCAGGCACACATTCGGTACATGGCACTGCTGGACGGCGGGCCAAATATAACTGCCCGACCCACTCTGTTATCGGTGCGCTCGGCTCACAAACAAACCTGCTCCAGCGGACATGCGGCTGGGTGACAGCATGAGAGGGGACGGGTCCTTCGGATTGATTGGGTTCAAATGGAGCTGATTTGATTGGGAGAGAATATGTGCAGTTAAAAGACTTTGCTTCAGGCTGTTTCTGTTGCCGTACATCTGTTTAAAAAACTGTTAATCGATAAACAAATTGCTTGATGCTGTAAAAGTACAATGAATTGCAATATGTATACATTGCACCATGGTCATCATGGAGAAAAATGCATGACAAGCTTTCTGCAGTATTGGGATGTTCAGTTTATGAGCATTCAGAGCTAATAAGACATTAACATTTTAGCAGTCACAGTTACTGTGATAACAAAAGCTTGGAGTTGTTTTACATGAATTATTTCTCAACGTCTAAGCTTTTAGTCAACAACATGTTTGAATTTGATGAAAAGTTATGGCGTGTACAGACTTGTTTTGCTGAATTTTTTTGCCATATTTCTGGGTTTCTTTGCCATTTTTCTGCCTTTTTGATGTTTTTTCCACATTTCTATTTCTGCCATTTTTCTGTGTTTTTTGATGTTTTTTTCCACGTTTTGTCTTTCTTTTTTGCCATTTTTCTGTATTTTTTATTTTTTTAACCACATTTCAGTCTTTTACTGCCATTTTTCTGTCTTTTTATGTTTTTGCCACATTTATGTCTTTCTTTTTACAATTTTTCTGTCTTTTTGATGTTTTTGCCACATTTCCATCTTTATTTTTACCATTTTGTCTTTTTTGATGTTTTTTTTGCCACATTTCAGTCTTTTTTGCCATTTTCTGTCTTTTTTGATGTTTTTTTACCACATTTCATTCTTTCTTTGCCATTTTCTGTCTTTTTTACGGTTTTTGCCACATTTTTACCTTTTTTTGAAAGCAAAAAAAAAACAAACCAGAAAAAA